ATTTATTTTTAATATAATAATATTATGATTATTATATTTGTAATTAAGAAGAATAATCATAATATTTTTGAGATATTCTCAATAGCGATATCCAAATTTCTATCAATATATCCCCAAGATGGAGATTATCGCACGCTACAACACAAACAATTATGAAGTGAAGAATCGTAGGATAATAAACGTAAATACTAATACATTAATTCTAAGTTCCAAATTACAAATCTTCAATAGCGCTGATCCATCACATATAAATTATTTAAGTTTCAAACTTAAAATGCTTAAAATATTTAAAATAACCTTTAAATTGAAAGAAAATAAATATTTATATAAAACGCAAAATAAAATCTAAATTAAAAAGAATGATGGAAAAAGGCTAATTATAAAAATGATTTTGATGTCACAAAAAGTTGTATAAATATTAAATAATTTAGATACTATCACTAACAAGGTATTCTAATATTTTAGTTATATATAATCATATAAAAATAGAAAAGATATTTACAAGCTTTATATACATATATACAATAGAGTATTTATTCAGGTCCATGAACTGTAGTTAAGAATTTATTCAGATCTACTTCATCTAGATTATTGAGTAATGTTTGTGGATCAGTCGTGCATTTCTTCTCAACCTTAAGAAAAAAAAAGCAATTATATTACATTATTCTTAGAAACAACATAATTATTAATAGATTATTTTATTACCTGTTTTGTTTCTTTTGTTTCTGACAACTTTCTCTTTCGATTTTTGGTAATATCTGATACTAAATATTAATTTTTTTAATATTATATAACATCCCTTATGACAAATAATAAAGTATTTGTATAAAATGAACTTACCTTTTTCCTGCTTATCCAGTTTTTGCTTTTTCTTTGTATCAGATTGCGTATTATTATTAGTTTTATTTGTTGCAGCAGTTTTAATAATTATCTTCTTCGTTTTAGCTTTTAATGGCTCGTCCATAGGAGATGACGTAGCCAAAGGCTTTGCGGCATCATCTTTTAAATTAAACGCATCCATCTGTTTGTTGGGTGTTTCGCAAACTTTCTCATTTTTTACGCGTGGTTTTTTGTTAATTGTCCGTTTTTTAGATTTTGGTGGAAGATTAAATATTTCTTCAAATTCGGTAGCTTTCATTATTTTGATGCACTCAACGGGATTTGGATCCGAAAGATCGGCATAATTGATTTCAATCTGTAATTCATGTCCGCTGTATCTTCTCCTTCTCTTCCTTATTGGTGCAGTATCGTCATACACGAAATGATATTCGGCTTTATAATTATGACTTTGGACCGTTTGATGCGATTCATTATCACTTCCGGTTTCGTGTTGTCTTTGCTCTTTGTATTGATTTTCATTTTGATTTTTATCACTGTGCGAATGCTCCTTCTTGGATGCCGGTACTAATTGCAGACATTGAAGAACGGTCGATAACTCCTCTTTAGGATTTTCAACAACATTAACATTCTCCTTGCCAGGAACAAGATTAGAGTTTTGAGTTTCTACATCAGGGATAATTGGCGGATATTTGGTGTTATTATCTTTCATATTTACGGTCAAAGATGTTTTATAATCATTTTCGTCATCACTAAATAAATCGCGCTTTACTTGATCTACCTTATATCTTAATATTTTATAAGATTCGGATTCATCGATATGATTTGGTTGTCTTGATTTATTTATTTTATCTTCCGTCTGATCACGATTTTCTTGTTGTAGTTTATCCAAAGCTAACATTTCTTGTACAACGATATGTTTCTCCGAATTTGTTTCTTTCAAAATTTTTTCTTGCTCTATATTATTTTTAAGTGTTTCTCCTGTTTCTTCTTTTTCGATATTATTTTTAATATCATAATTTTTTTCAATCTCTTCAATATTTAATTTTTCTTTCAAATGTTCTTGACTTTCTGAGGAATTTTTATGCGATTGCATAGACTCACCTTTCTTGCAATTTTCAAGATTATCTTTCACGTCACAAATATTATTTTCATGTAATTGTTTCTTCACATTATTATCTAGTGGTTTGTCATTGTTATTTTTATAATTTGTCAAGTTAGAGTCTGTATCTTTTGATGTACTAGCTTGATTTGTCTTCTTTTCATTATTGCATTTGTTTGCAAGACTTTGTGTTTGTGACTCAAATTTTCTTCGCGTATTTTTTCTCAAAGTTTCTTGTCGATTATCCTGTGATTCTATATTTTTATTAACATCTTTGGAATATCTCGCCGGTGGACGTATGATTCGTTTTCCTCTACCAAACTTCTTCAGAGTGTCAGCAACTTTACCTGTTAAAATACGTTTACGATTCGTCGCAGGAAGATTCAGTTTTGAATTATCTCTGATTTTTGCCATAATACGTTGTCGTTTTTCTTCTAGTAACTGCTTATGCATGAATTTATCGTGCACAGGTGCGCTTGGCTCACACTCGGATTGACACTCGTGTTTAATCGATTTTAAAGGCTCGATGATAAATTTTGATGAACCTGGCTGAATACATTGTATATCTATTATCTTTGGTAGCGCTTTCGTTTTGTTAATCGGCAATTTATTGCTACTCTGTTTTGATAATTTTTCATCTTCCGTTATAATTGCCGATATCTTTGTCGTCAAATTAGTCAGAGATTCTACTCCGCTTTTTGAGCTACTAGGCGTTTCCGAAATATCAGCTTCGTTTAATAGAGTCTCATCTTTAGCGGGGGTTTCCTTCAACGTATTCTGTATTTCATTGTCTGTTTTTGCGATCGCGAATACTTTTCTCGGCGAAGATTCCATTTCGGTCAACGCGTTATTTGATTGTTTACAAGCATCGTTTGGTATATTCATCAATGCATCGGTTGTATTTTTCGGTGCATTAAGATTTTTTTCTGCGAAATCGCTATTGCTGTCTGTATTCATTTTACTTTGACCTTTATCGCATTTTCCATTTGGTGAACATGTATTCGTTGATGTATTTGTGTTCGAACTACTGGATGTAGATGAAGACGATGAAGATGATGACGTATCGGATGATGAGGAACTACTCTCCACAGAATTGTGCGAGTCATTGGCGTCGACTACTGTTTCGCAATGCTCATTTATGTCTTTAAATTCGTTTATCTCTATTAAATCCACTTGACGATCTATTACAATAGCAGCGTTGAGTTCTGGTGAATTAACTAAATCTTTCGACGTAGATGCAATTTTGAACTCCTTGATAGCCTCTTCCCTCGGTAAATTCTCCTTAATCACTTCGAATTCCGTTATTTCTAGTTTAGAGGAGGTACATGTTTGATAAGTATTATCGGAAGCAAGACTATTGTGCATCGAATGTAATTTTATATGCGATGAAGATAGGATAGGTGATTCTTGTGTACTGCTATCTTTAGGTTTTAAATCCTCAGAATTCTGGACTTGCTCAGAGGTGGGTTTATAATACGAGGAATTGTATTCGCCTCTCTTTATGATATCTCTAGTCGTCTCTTCTTTTGGAGTTATAGCTACGCCCGGAGTTATCGGAAATTCCGGCGTGGTGATAAAACTACGTATTTTAGTAGAGTCTTCACTGACCTTGATGAACGGTGTAATGAGACTACTACTGGGACTCAGTACTCTCGGTGTCGGTGGAGGTCCCGATATGTTGTCGAATTTTCTAGGTGTTTCCAAGTTTATCATATCGGGCATTCGTAAGATATGTTGTGTACTGTCAGCGGATAAAATTTTCGAGATTTCAGATGTCTGCGAATTGATTTGCGTGACCTCCGCAGTCTTTCCTCTTTCGTTATCGAGTTTCTTCAAATTAGTCGATATTGTCTTTAATTGTGCATATTTTTTTTACAGGTTTTTTTTTCGGCTATTGTCGCATCGCTAGTTGTAGCATTCACTTTCGCAACTGTTTTATGAATATTAATTGAATCTGAAATTTTATCTGATTTATTCGTAGTAGAATCTATAATAATAACGGCAGTTTTCACATTTTCTTTCCCGTTATTTTGCAGTTCTGTTATTTTTCTGTTGTTTCCTTGAGAATTCTCTTCCGGTTCATTGTAATCTTCATGCTTACACTTTCTGTTTACTTTCGGATTATTGCAATTTTTTTCTTCATCACTGCTTTTTGTTGATGAATTACATTTAATCTTTTTACGTATCTCGCAATTCTTATCTTTTATAGAACTTTTTCTTTTTTTTGTAGGCTTCTCCGATTTTTGCGGTTCATCTTGTCCATTCGACTCTATACACTTGCGTAAATCAGCATCCCAACTGCCCATAAGCGGTTTAGACGGCTTACGTTGAATGACTTTATCCTCAGAAGAAGAACAAGACGCACTAGTACTCCCATGTGGAGACACTTCACCTATAATAACGCCAACGCCATTACATTTGTCCCAACCACCCATGAGTTTAGGCGCAGGACTTCTAGTAGCTATGGGAATTCTATAAGACTGACAGATTTTTATCGGACTCTTCTGCTTTTGAGTGGAAGTATTAGAAATTGACGGTGATCTAAATAACGAAGTCCTACAGACGGACTTTAAACGTTTTGTCGATGTGGACGAAAACGGGGTGTTTCCATCTGCGTTAGTTTTTCTAGTTGAACTCGTTGTTCTCGTAGGAGTGCTAAAGTCAAGTGCTCTTATATGACTGCTTCGTTTGCGCGGCGTAGACAAGCTTAATCTATGATTTTTGGACCTACTTTTTAACAGGGATTTTGGTGTGCGTTTAGTTATAACATTATCAACGTTTTTAGGTAATTGCTCATTGTTATTTGCCGTCGTGTTCCTCGCATTTTCCATCACGGGTGCCAAATCAATATCTGAAAGATTGTGGCTTTGGTTGGTCTTAGTACAATTAAATTTTAAATACGGAGAAAACCCACTACCCGACAAACTGATATTTTCCTCCAGGTTAATCGTAGGCATATTGGTGCTGTCCAATGACGTTTTAGCATTGGTTTCATTACTATAAAGCGTTATCGATTCGCTTCCAACGATCTTACCTGTTTGAGTAGGTTCTATCGGATTCAATATCTGTTGATCAATACTAATTGGTACTATCGCGTCAGTTTTATGTACAACTTTTAATTGTTTGTTAACATCACCATTATTCCTCTTTGAATGTAATAATCCTACTTGGATTGTAGAATTTGGTTCTATTATAGCTGGCAGCGTTTTGGCTATTGGTACTTTTTGCGCTACATTTACTGTCCTTAAAAATAGAGTTTCCACGGTTTCTTCAATTCTATTTGGATCTTTCGGAGCGATCGGAATAAAACGCGAAGTAGAAGTCGAAGTTATAGTTGAACGATTTATAAAAAGATTGTTTACCTCATCTTTCGAACACATTATCAACGTTGGCATAGTCATGATTTCGTGTTCTGTTATGGGCTGAATTGCGTTAGGCTGAATGGAATTAGACTGTCTATCGATAATCGTTTGATCGCGTTTAGGTTTTGTAGGTCGTGGTCGCTTTACCGTGGCCTTTTTAACTTTAGACTGTACGTTATTTGCAGGTAGTATAACATTATTACCTTTATCTATGTCTTCCGAGGTTAAGGACTTTATAGTTGTATCGTCTTTGTTTTCTATAGATGCGATCGTTTGTATTATTTGTCCATTATTATCATTTGAGGCTATTAATTCTTTCGTATCAAGAATTCTTTTTTCATTATCAGGCACATTATTAGTAATATTAGCATTTATAATACTCAACACTGCGGCTGCATTTTGATCTTCCAATGCAATCTGATCTTTTTCTTGATCTCTCGCTTTCTCAATTTCGTCTTCAAGTCTATTGTACTGTTGTCTTGAAGAACTACGGAGCCTATGTTTCAAAGGCACATCCGCTAGACCATCTTCTGCGACAACTTTGTCTGTCACTATCGGTTCAGGTGAACTAACGCGGTCTGCTACTGTTTCAATTTGTTTCTCCTGTAGACTAAAAACATTACAATATTTTAAGAACATAACATTCAATTAATAACAGAACACTTAAAGAATAAAATATATATACGTACTCATTAACCGATTTTGGACTTAGTTTTCCTTCGCCATCTTCCTCTGGACTTGTATCCGTTTCCGTATGTGGTCCAATGATCTCATTAAGAAACTTTTCAAAAACAGGATCAGATTCCGTTGCTTCAACAATCGATTTAATAGCATTATTTAATTCAGTCATGATCGAAGTGTTTCCTTCACCAACCATGGATTCATTCAGATTTTCATCCTTGAAAGATAGATCCGTAGGAATGATCGCTTTGTTGATATTTTCTGCAATACATTCTTGTAACTCTGTACGATTCAAGATTTCTTTTGTCAATATCTGAAAATATATATGAATAGACATTTAATATTATTTTATTAATGGTCATTATATGTTTATAAATATAAACATAAAAAATATAAGTAGAAAATTAATATCACTTAAATGCTTACACTGAGATTTTCAATAGGTTCGTCATTAGATTCAGACTCTGACTCGGGTATTTCATAAGGAATAGTTTGTACTTCTGTACTAGAGAAACTTAATAGTTCCTCCGTGCTTGTGGCTGTAGTATATCGTGTAGGTAACGCGCTACTTGCGCTTTCTTCCTTTCTTTTATCATCAATGTCCATTTCGCAACTTCGCACACTCGAGACATCATCTATAGAAAAATTAAAAAACTGTAATAAACAGCTTCGGCTATTAATTTATGTAATTACTATTTTTATGATTACCTAAACTCATTCGAGTACTACTATATATATTTTTATCACGTGTGGTAACATTTGTACTGTTATTTTTATTAGAATTACATTGTCTGTGAGACTCCTGCGTGTAATTGTCATCTCTCTTCTCAACTGTATGAGCAACACATTCCATCTGCTTTAAATCAATATTTCCAGGCAGACTTTCTAACGGGGTTGTGTCAACATTGTGGCAACTTCCTGCTACATTTCAATATTATAATTTTATCAAAGTTTTACATTATATGTCATAAACAATAAGTAAAAAAAAAAGGACAAAAAGGGGAAAAAGAAAAAAAAACATACGCGGACTCATAATATCAGATTGTTGTACTGAATTCAATTGGTTTCTAATATTGCGTTTATTCCGTTCGCTATTACTGTGATGTCTTTTGCGCATATTGCTTGCAGTAATAGGTGAGCCACTTGATGTTTGTACATTACTCTGTAAAATATAAGAAAACAAATTACACAATTTAAGTATTTAAAAAATCATATTTAATTATAATATACAAACACAGGAACTTATTTTATAAAGCTTTTTTTCTATTTGAGATTGAATATCAATTATATCTATAAGAATTTTTTATTACATTCATAATACTGTAACTATACAGCAATTAACCAATAAATCACCTGTGAAGGTACATTTATGTTTACAACAAATCGCTGACCACGTGGCTCTTCAACAAGAAACTTGAGTTGTTCCATTAGATCCCCACAGTGTTTTAATTGCTCACAATCAGTAGCCTTGCTTAATCGTTCTTGAACTGCAAGAAATAACATGTTTAAACATAAACAAATATCTACAAAATATATATAAAATCCAAATCTATCTATCTATTCATTTAGTATTTTATTTAAATAAATTCAAACATAATATATAATATATAAATAATATAGTATATTGTTTACTCATAGCACTAATGGCAGAAAACTTTTCAACAATATCAATCAACGTTAAACCGTTGACTCTGGTGCTGAATCTCCTGCCATGAGAAAGTACTGCACGACATTCTTGCAAGTGTGGAGATGTTTCTAAAAACAATTTGGCTGCTTCAGTACACTTCTGATCTTCTAAATAACCTGAAAATAGAGAATTTATTAATACAGTTATAATTCAAATCAACATATTGATATTATCAAAAATACAATATAAAAACCAAAAACAGAAAAATATTCCTGAATAATAGATGACCAAAACATTATTCTCAATTGTTCATTTCTTTTCCCTTTCAAAACTTAGACATGCGGAGAATATAGTTGAAACAAAGAGAAATATCATTATTATTAAAATCTCTTTCAGTTTATCAAAAACATTTTATTTGCATAATTATATAATTTAATATTTAATGCGTTGTATCTAAATACAAATGGTATTTCTAGTTGCAAGTTCACTTGCATCTTGGACGAAAAAGGTGAGACCATGAAATTGCGTAAAAGAATTCGCTGATACAAAAAAATCATATTATCTTCAGCGAATCGATCGTGACATTATTGTCACGATAAAGAAATGCCTGGCAAAGCTTGGCTACAAAGAAGCCAAGATTATGGCGTTCCCGCCTGTGAAAGGTTACGCGTTCGCGGGTATTGCGATCGTCTCGATCTTACCGAGAATTAATCTAGCGATCTCAGACGGTAGGAGGGCTTCCATGGTCACGTTGAAAATATACGTCGGCGATCCCGAGATCTCATCGAAGCGCCTGGGCCGTCACGGTCCAGGTAATCAAATAAAGCTCTTCTTAACACGCAACTGCGTCTCAGCAGTCACAGCGAATGGCAAACATTTGTAAGTGCACTGCTACCAACGTGCACTCTAGCTGCTTCCTTCCGAATTCTCAGCTTTCTCGATGCATCCGAAAACAAGCGACGTTTCGCCGTTCTTCTCGTATACAATAAGAAATAAAGCTACCTCGACGCCAACGTGTTTATCATGATTATCCACGCACATACAAGTCTATCGATCACGCGTAGGTTCGACATTTCGTTGGATCTTCCTGTTCCTTCGCACGCGCTTGTCATACGGAAAATTCATCTCGCGTCGAATGTAAGATTCGACCGAAGACGAAAAGAGGACAACAACGCTTGAAAAATCTGTGAAAGGAAAGCTCTCTCGTTTTCCGTTTTCAAACTTATATTTCGCGCCTGTGTTTGAATCCACCACCCACAACATCGCCATTTTTACAATTGGCACTGACGGGACGAACGCCAGGTGTCCTGTTACATACAATAGTTTCTATTACACATTGAAATTGAAGTTGTAACATATTATGTATGTAACAGATTATATTATTATATTTTCAATAAAATATTACCATCACAATTTTTTATTAACTTAACACCATTTCTCTTTATATAATCAATTCTTATTCTTATTCAAATTTTTCTACACAACTAAGCAGAAGGCTTAATAATAAAAATAAGCCAAAAATTGATCAATTTGTTGTAAAATTTTAACAAATTGCGATTGATAATTTCAATAGAATAATTGGCCGATTAAATTGGCCGATTAAATCGAAGTTGGTCCTAGGTTTGATTTTATATTGAAGCGATTAAAACTTTGATGGAAACTGGATCATATATCAATGGTATGTTCTACTTAATGCTTATGTGATCTAAGCACTTGTTTGTCCTTATTTAATGTTCGATAAATAACAAAGATAAAATAATACTGAATATGATGAACGACGAATGGAACATATCTATAAAGATTGAAGTCTGCTGGATAACCGGAATGTAGAAACCTAACCTAAAACAGTCTTCTTGAAGTGCTCTTTTTAATGCGACAATTTTCTTTTCTAAACATCTATTTAAGGTACATTGCTGTAATATCTGTGATATTTTTTATACTGATTGTAACTACATTTCCAAATAGCGTTGTCATATCTTTAATGTCTACTATCGATAGCTAGATTCGACTGCTATGTTTATGTTTTTGTTAAATATAAATAAAGATAAAAAGAATTTCTATTTCAAGAAATACGGTATAATCTTCTGTAATTATGAAACCTTAACAAAGGAAAAAAAATTAACAATTGACAAATATATTAGCAAAATATATATAGAAATGTTATTTTTATTTTGCATGATTAGAAACTTTTATGAAAAATATTAATAGATATAAAAAATAATAATAGATGTAATAAAATAAAATGATAATAGAAAATAACAACTGTTGTATGTAGCACATTTGATTTTAAGCTAGTAATTCAGAAGTCAAATATTTCACTTTTCTTTTTATAAAACAAGCATAAAAAGAAGATATTTGATTTGACTCAATTCAGACTCAGGAAAGCAAATATGTTATTAATATGATTAAGCTATAATTGAATAGGTAATAGAAATAGTTATAATTGAATGAATATTTTTCCAGGTATTTAAAAAGATGGGTTGGATATTAGAAGTGGCTAAAATGTTTATGTATATATCATTTCCTGTTGGAATATTTCACTATGTAAATCAGCCAGCTTATTTTGAAAAGTGGGTGATAAAAGCAAAAGAGGAATATTACCCATCTGAAAGTAGGCAGGCGAATAAAGAATTAGAAGACTTTATTTATGAGTTTAATGCTAAATATGAAAGGAAACAATTGGATGCTCTTGAGAAACAGAGCAAGAAGAACTAATGAAGAAAATATATTGTAATGTTTCTAATTGTATAATAATATTTATAAGGACTAGGATAACAAAATACCTTTGGTATAATTAATTAGAAATAAAAATACTAATAGTCTATCTTTAATATTGACATTTCTTTGTATCTTCAAAGAAGCTTTCCTTACTAGGTACTATCTTCGAATTCATTTTGAACCTACCATTGTTAGCATCTTGTTTTCTAAAAGTGAAATTGATTCTTCGTAAATTATTTGTACATCTGTAAAGAGCATAGATCTTTTCATTACATAAAAGAAATAAAGAAAATATAAATAAATAAATAAAATCGACTAGAATATATTCTTCTATTATAAAAAAATATAAAATTACTGATTTCTCACATCTCTTTCTCTATTTTTGAGAAAAAAAGCAATTGTTTGATTCTGACAATCTTTAATGAATTTGTGTTTTACCATCAACACAAGCAAATTTATGAAGGATGAGAGTAGATCTAGGTGGCGTTTGAGACATGCGGAGCAGAAAGAACAGCGGCAGAATGTCTTCCTCCTTTGTGGAACAACAGTTACTATGCTAGTAATGTCTGTGTAATTAACTCGTATGATACTTTCAATGAGCGGAATGCTTTGCTAATGTAAACAAAATGGTTTAAAACCGTTGTGGCTCCGACGAAAACACGTCCGTTTGTTCTACCGTGTGCCAAACGTTCGTCACGATGTGGAAGTGTCACAAATGCGGGAAACCCGTTTTCTTCGGTGAGTTTTAACGATTCGCAATTTGTTGAGAGGCAGTGTGTCTCTGACAAATATCACCGCGAATCGGAGCGATCGGTTTGCAGAACGTCATGGATGTCGTAGAGAACATTTGGTCACGCCTTACATTGAATTAAATTAATAATTAATTAAATTGATAATTATATATAATTTAAATTGATAATTATATATCTGAATTATATATAAGAGAACTATCATCCATTATTATTGCATTATTTTGATTGTTTATGATATTTAGAATTGATGTACACATAAAATAACAGCGTAAAAAATATATTAGCGTTAATCTTATCATTATTATTTTGAGAATTCTAATTTTCACAATTCTGAGAATTGTAATTCTTATAATTCCGAGAAAAAGAATTTAAATTTGGATGCGTGATTTGAACAAACATCAACTTTTTAGCTGAACGCAAACAGTCTTTGGGATACGATTGGCATCCAGAATGTTTACGATGTGAGGAGTGTGGGAAGCGATTGAATCCTGGGCAACATGCAGAGGTAATACAAACTAATCATTTTGTTCTTTTATGAATTATAAGTTAATATTTCAAATCAGATAGTAGAATATTATAATGTATGATTTGTTCCTGTGTTAATTAGCACAAAGGCGTGCCTTATTGTCATGTTCCTTGCTATGGAGCATTATTTGGACCTCAATTATTCGGCCATGGTACAAGAGTAGAATCACATACAAGTTTTGGGAAGAAAGAAAGTCGACCATCTTTGCCGAGGTAAAGATATAGGAATTTTATATTTTAATTAATAAATTTATTTGTATAAAAAATTATATTTTATTTTATAATTTTGTATTTATTATTTTAATACAGATTAATACAGATAGAAAAAATCCAAAGAACTATGTTTCAGTAAATTTGTATAAACTAAATAATATAATAATAATAATAAAATAATATAATATAATAATAAATATTATTATTAGCTAATTATTTAAATAGTTTTATAGAAATAAGTATGCTTTTAGATCGCATTTAGAATCCAAGCTGAAAGTTTTTAATCAGTATTATGAAGGCAAAAGTGGAGGAATCCGAAGTCGTGAAGTAAGAAAGGACTTGATACAATTATAAATTCTTATTATATTCTTATTATAAAAGATATTTTTATAAATAAATAACAATTTGAAATAGGTCAATGGAAGATTAATACTAGAAGGTGCATTAAGAATTTACTGGGGAGTACGTGGTGTAATTCATCTGAAGGAAGACGACGATCAGCGCACAGTAGTTACTGCACGAAATAGAAACTCGTGCAGACACAGTGTTTCTGAGGTTTTACTTTTATTTATTCTATTTATGTTTGGTAAATATAATAATGATATGTTTATTTATTGTTTTTAATTATGATAGGATGTCGAAGATGAAGATAAGCCAGATGAATTATCTAAGAACACATTGGACAGCAGTACGGAGAATAATACAAAATCCATTCCAACATCACCCGAACATTTAAAGAGTCTCACTTTGCCCATGAAACTAGATGTCAAAAATATGGAATGGGATGAGCTGGATGAGCTTCTACAGGTTTTATTTTTAAATACATCTACAATCAATTTATGAAACAAATATATATAATAAATATAAACTCAACTATATAATTGTAGGTTGAACGAAAGATCGAAGATGGCGATAAATTATATCAGACAATGCCTGAGAATCTTCCATCATTAAGTTCACAATCTAGTGTGGATACGCCACCACTCTCGTCTCAGTCAAGTCTCGATCGATCAGATTCTCGGGAGAATTCGAAAACGAACAGTCCCAGTCATCAAACTAGCCGAGACAATGATAGTAGCATAAACAGCACGCCGACGCACAGCATAGGTAGTTCTTCCAGTACAGACACACCTGTCTGTAATCTAGGAGTTTCTAATAGAAATGGTACGCTTCGAAGAGTAGAATACTTTGATAACTTAGAGAAAAGCACCGGTAATAAATCGATTAGCACTGACGACAGCTGGATTGAAAAGGGTCTGAACCGATCATTGTCCGGTCCTGATTGTCTTCAGAGACACAGAACTGATAGTGACACGGATTCGGTAAATTCTTTCAGAGAGGACGATAATATGACCATGTCTACGGATAGTGGATTAGAGGTGTTGAATATAAATCATGAATATTTATTCCATCAGGTAGTGTGTTTTTAAATGCATATATCAATATATTTTTTCTCGTTGTAGCTGGATGGCGTAGTTTTGCGTCGCAAGCAAGGCTCTACCGCAATTAGACGACGCCCGGGCGGCAGACGTCAATCGCGAAGCCGATTACGACGTCGTTGCTCGATCAACGGTCATTTTTATAATCGAGAAACTAGTTTCTTTACTCCACCTCATGGTTCACAGATGTCCGTGTGGGTAACAAGTCTAGTGAATACTCAGGAAGTTATTAATCTTATGCTGGACAAATATAAAGTTGATGCTAAGTCTGACAACTTTGCATTATTCGTCGTCCGCGACAATGGTGGTAAGAAAACTATGATTATCTAAGAAAAATTTAAATTGACTTATTTATTATTATATTTTCTTTCACTGCGTGCAATCTATATTTTCAGAGCAAAGAAGATTGAAGGATGACGAATATCCTTTGGAAGTCAGAGTAGTCTTGGGTCCGCACGAAAACGTTGCGCGATTATTTCTGGTCGATAAATTGTCCACACCTGAAATCAGTTCTGATGTCGCGCAGTTTCTCAATTTGTCTTTAACAGAATGTGAAGGTATAGTGCAACGTTATTACTTCGAGGAAGAGCGTCAGATTCTCCTTTTGAAAGAAAAGTAAGTACCTACAATAATATATATCAATAAGAATCGCATCATATAAATTGAATATTTCAGATATAAAGAGATGCGAAAAAGAATAAAACAAAGAATGGAGGAGTTAAAAGTTCGATTATAGGTAGAATGATGAATGAATGTATGCATGGATATCCACGCAATTATTTTTATAAGCGCTTAAAACATTTTCTCTATAAAGAGAAATATTCATGTGGCAAGAATCTATAACTCATACCGCGCCAAAATGGTATTGGTATATAGGTATGTATTACAATAACATGACACAATCCACGACGTAAAGTATTTTTTAAATATCGTACAATATGCGCCTGCATTTCAGTTTTATTTGTAGCTTGACACTTTGTTATATTCTCTTTTCGTTTTGAATTTCGTTTCTGTTGCATTTATCTATAATCGTTATATATGGAAATGCTATTAATTAGTGTACTTTAATATGGATAAGGAGATTGAATCTCTGGTGATTTCATATCAAATTTTCCTTTATCAGAGATAATATTATGTGATAAATGTAATATGTGAAATATGTTGTTCTTATATTTCGTTATATGATTTTCTGAATAACTAATTTAAATGAAAAATGCTGCAATATTTTTGATTTGTTTTATATTGAAGGCGAAGCGATTAGGGATTCGAGCAATATTAATGTGAAATAATTATTGCTTATAAAATTAAAACAATGAAAAATCGAACAGAATTATATTCGATGTTTCTCTGCGAATTTATAATCGCGAATTTATAATCATGTAAAATTCTACTGTCACGATGAATAGAACATTGTGTTTTATCACAATTTTTCAGCATTCCGCGACATCTCGATAAAGTGATAAAAAGCAAACGTATTTTTCTATCGGTTTTTACAGGGGATCCATTTATTGAACGAGAAGTCATTTTTTTATTGAATAGATGTCAATGATAATAACTGTTAAGAATTTAAAGTTTTCTATCCTTTGCATGTCAACGTGGCTCAGGTATAAGTGGATACACACATTACGTATTCAGTCGTACACAATTGCTGTCAGATACTCTGATATCGCAATCCGAGACTATTGTTGTGCGAAACAAATTGCAAGGCGCAAAACAAAATGCCGCACGCAACAATTAATCGTCAGAATATTGTAACGCGCCACGAATCTATGGAATCGCCGTTTCAAGCTAGTCATGTTTCACGCTTAGTCACTGATATCGATTGCATCCATCCCATTTTCACATAGAGGCCAAAAGCGACATATACTGAGCCACGTTTACGTACAAAATACATTGTATATGCTCTCGATCTGCCAGTTTAGAATAATAAATGACGAATACGATACACGTAATGAAGCTATATATATTAATAATATTTAGTATATCTCTATAGAAATGTATTAAAGGATTATAATAACCTCTTATAGCTGGTAGGCAGCTTTCATTAGCAGTAAAGAACATAATCCTCATGATGATATATCGATTAACAAAACAGATCGCATTATTGTGACGTTAGAATAAGTTTATCGATTGACGATCGATTAACCATTTTCTACTGCTAATAAATGATACATATGAGCGTATAATTTTTTATACGCCAATTATAGCCAGATAATACTCCAAAATAATCATGACATGTTGAATACATTTTGCGCCAGAAAGGAATAAAGTGCGAAATTGAAAGTAAATATCTGAAATATTGTGACAGGAAATATTGTATAAAGAAACCTGGTTGAATTGATATGGATCTTGTAATGTCGTTGACAGAATAATAAAATGATATAGTTGCTTCTTTTATACATATATCTTCGTTCTTTTTCCTTGAAATAAAAGGAATGTTTCGGAGAGGTTTGTAGATATGGATCTAACCCATCTAAATCTTAAAATATATCTGATTAAGTAATGGTCCACGAGTGTGATTCCCATTTGGAATTACCTTTACCTTCCTTGAAATGAATCCTTTTGATAACTAGTAGGAAATGTATTCGTAAGGGAAGAACAGACATCGACGCAGAGTTAAGTGAGATTGGACAGAATGTATTTATTTATCTTTAAAGTGTACGTAGAGTAAAGTAGATCAATGCAATTGTTATGAGTAGTATCGAATAGTAATTGTCATACGAGTTGCTAGGAACGAGTATGCATACCCACAACACCGAGGAGCTTCAGCCGCTCATTTTTTTTCTTATTTTTTGTTTGCACGACACTGATATACATTAAACGTTACAAGATAGCAATAACGATTATCACCACGCCAGAAGTTCCATCATAATCATCATCATTATCATGATCATTATCATCATCATCGTCGTCGTCGTCGTCATCATCATCTCGTTATCATCATTGACGTTATCATAGTTACCTTACAGCCACAGCTTTATTACACAACTTACAATTCTTTGGCATCTCGCGGTGGACACCGGATTCAACAACAACGTACTACATACATACGCAGACGCTCGCAATCATTTTAAAAATATCACAAAAAACGCGACGCGTAATTACGTAACTAACTAACGTAGTCCCGTTGTGAGATTTGTAGAATTAATTGATACGCGGTCGAATCGTTCGCCGAGTCAAGATCCCTGGACATTTCTATTCTATTTTTATGAAATATTGGGTGTAAATTCGAGCTTTTATATACGGTTTTACATCCGACGGAAGTTACGAATTTGTAACGATCGTTTGTTCGACAATCATAGTTATTGCGATCGTCCGGTTTGCACTGAAATGTTCCGTGGTTTTTTTTTTTGAATTCGTGAAATTTTTACACGGAATCTAGAACGTCTGCGAGCGTGTCAATTTGACACGATTCCGTTTTGAGCGCATTATTTATTAAACATCCTCTTTAGGAATATCCGGCGTGATCGCGCATTCAATATCGCAAAGAGAATTCCCATTTATAGCCAGAATAAAACTCGCAGTTTATATATAAGGCAGGTCGCGATAGTTAGATTGCACGATTAACGATTGGCGAACACGAAATCTCGTGTGGGAGCTAACGATTTTTTTAAGACCCTCGCAGTCAAAAACTTTATATAATCCAATGCGATTTTTATGCATTTTCTCGAATTTTTTTCGAAGATTAAATCAATATTTAATAAAATATATAAATACAGAATTAAAACATTTTTTTCGTTATTTCAATCACGTATCTAAATTTGGAGAGTTAACTTGTTTTTATACAACGTATTTATTCGTAAACTTCCAATTTCTAAAATTTATTCATATATATAATCAAACTATTATATAAAAGAAATATATGAAATTTAACTGATTTTGTCTGTTTAAATTACTATAATAACTACTGTCTTTTCTTACCTGTTTCGAGACTCGACGAAGATTCGTATCGATTAGATAACAATAATTAATCGAGACAACGTGCGAGCAATAATCTGCTGACAACATTCTCGACAGCTTTAACAAACAAATGAGAAGGCAGCGTTCGTCTCTCTTTCGTACTGTTCTAACTACGAAACTATTACCTTTTCCAAGGCAAAATAAAATCACTTCATAACTCTATGCTTCCCCATATATAAAAAGTATCATCTCGTGCAAACCTGTCAGTCTAATTTTTTAAAAATTATATCTTCCAATATTTAACAAAAAAAACAAAAAAAAATTTTACAACGCATTCCGTTTCGTGAGCGACTTAAAGTACTTTGTGAAATTCTTATTGTATCCGCGAGGACGATCATTTTGACGGTGAGACAGAAAGCGGTGGTCGACGGAAAGTCCTCTCGGATAGCGTATCGGACTTTAAGAAAGGTAAAGAACGCATCTTCCCTCGCACAACAAGTTAAAACGTTAACAAGCATCATTCGCACTCTGCTTCGTGGAAAGGGGAAATAAAGGAAGGCCCGCCGAACCGTACTCGAACTTGTATGCGTCTTGCGTCTCGCGCGCGTTTGGTGCCCGGCACGCCGGTCCGTCGTCCGTTCCCGGGACGACGCCGCGAACTCGGTTATCACAATCTGCGTGGCGTACATGAGCCTTACAAAAAATACAATACTTGTGCGCTCGCGACTTTGTATGTATATCACAGGCGACCGGCGCACCGTCGCGGGCGCGGCGCGGTTTCGTCGCGCTAATCGCGCACCGTCACTACTTGCGCCCCGTCTGGCCGCGATTTCCACCCTCCGTTTTTACGACAAACTGCGCGTTGCAGTGGAGCGAGCGTGGAACTGGGACGACGGAAGTCCGATTCGGCGGTTTCTCGCATGAAAACATTCCGCTCTAAACTCTATCGCTAGAATCTGCTCAAGTCGCAAAGTTCCAAGGTGCCAAGCCGAGGGATTCGTGGCCGATTCGTTGATACAGCTGGTAGTCTTCTAGAAAGAAGCTAAAAAGGGAGCGAATCTCTGAGCGAAGTGAAGACTTGCCAATACCACGCGGAATAGTTTAGAGTGGACTTAAAAGAATCGCAGATTTTTAGCAACACTCTAGATCTCTAGAAATTATTCACGCGCGTCAGTACTAATTGTAAGATCAAAAACGAATCGTTTGTTGCATCGAAATATAAAATCGCACAACCATGTAACGTTAGGAAAAATATTCTCTTTGGCACATTTGAGACTCTTCGGCTTCAATCGATCATAATAAATATTAATTTATAATTGTGTTTCTCGCAATACGATTTTATCCGTTTAAGAATCGAGCTGCCAAAACACTTGGGAAAGACATAGAACTCGTTGTATGTGATGATGTATGTAAATGTGTTCGAAAGGGAAGCAAATGGAAATAGAAAGTACAGGAGATATACCTATCCTGGTCGAATACATTATTCGCGCTTAAGTATTCGATGTGCTTTTTTTCATCTTTCATTCGTACGCACATTTTTCGCTCTCATCCCTTCCCACAATCTTTCAATATTACATTCTCTCTTTTTCTTTTATTCCTCGTTTTTCTCTGGCCAGGGTCGCTTTTCGTTTCTATCATTTCGCCTCTCATCTTTCATTTTTCTTTCTTCCTATCATTCATTCCCATTTATCCTCGCGCGCACTTTCTCTCTTTCTCTCTCTTTCTTTCGCTCAACAATAACAATTGAATATGAATTAGAAAAATAACATTATATTGTAGACAACAATTGGTTACAATGTATATAATATATACCGGTAATAGAGTGGTGTGTTTGTTTCACACAATACTTTTATATTCCCCGTTATTTAAAGCGTACCAATGACGTGGGGCGCCGCGTTATGTGGCTCATAAAGACTACAATTAATTCGTCGTTTCGTAATCGTTCGTTTAACTTGGTCGATCGATCGTCGATCACGGCACTCGCGATCGATGGGGATCGGATTCAAGTGGGAGATTCGCATTTTTGTACCAACGGCCATTTATAATATATATACGTAATATATATCGAACGTACACTTTTCGAGAACGTGGATTCTACGCGCGATCTATGCGTCACGATTGCACGATTGCGATATCACGATCGACTTTAACGGATGTATAAGGCGGTATTGAAATATTAACATGACGTTTATTCCGCTTCTAATATGCACAAAAGTATTGAAAAAAATTTCAAGAAAGAATTTTTATTATATCTTTTTATATTTGTGATTATCCTAATTATAATTTAGAACCGATTTGTATATCCCAATAAATCTTATAAAATAAAGCTTTGATTGTACAAATTATTCTGCGAGTTTTATTAAATATTTAAATATCGTAGTGATTTCTTTGTAATTTTTTAAAAATTAATATCAATAACGATAACAATAAAATTAACTTTTACGTAAGATTTAGTAATAAAACTCCCTGCAAAAATTATATTCGCAGTGTTCCGTTCCTTTTATCGTTACGTAGATTTCTTCATTTAAATTGCGACATGATTCTAAATCCCGTTAGAGGGGCGCGCACCAAAGATTTCGCGAGACATTGTTTTCACACGTTGCTCCAAGTTCCCTTAATTAATTAGTTAGTTAGCCGAAGAGCCAGAGGGTCGCGGACGCGTTCTTCGCTTTTGCACGACAGCGCCCAGCGTCAATGGAAAATTCGTGGACAGATTTCGAGACGGCATACGATATTACTTTTGACTCCCTCTGCGTCTATACTCCTTTCTCTCTCATTCTCTATTTTTCCGTTTCACTTCTTTCACTCTTTCTCCCTCTTTTCTCTTCACACCCCTTTTTTTCTTTCATCTCGACCGCATAAACGCGTTTCATTCCGCCATCTGTCATTTACGAGTGTGTTTCGTTTAATAAGCTAACACGTACTAGCTACAGTAAATCCTAATTACGGCTTGTACGACAGACATTTATGTATATATATATATATAATATATATATAATATTTGTGTGTGTTGCGCGCGCGTAATATTATATATATAGAATATTTGTGTATGTATATATATATGTAATATATAATATTCATATATTACAGTTAGATTGCTCATTGTCAATTCATCGGTTTATCACATTTAGTACAAGTTGAAAAATATCTCTAACATCCACGCGCGGCAGCGCGGACTCGCCTCCCCGCGCGGGAGGATCGCGCGCGTCCGCGACGCCGCTTTGTATAATAATTATCGTTAATTATGCTAGTTATTAAATTACAATTAATCAATTAATTAATTATCTAACGGTAGGTACGACAAACAATTATGATAATACGGCCACGATTTATTAGTTCTCCTCGCGACGGCAAAGTGATTGCAAAATCGACTTTCGTTAAGGTTAAACATAGAATCCTTCGTTATGTCGCGGAGCCTTTTCTATATCGTTGATTTTTCAAGCAAATATCTATCGGGTGTGTTTATTTCAGCAAAGCTATTCGACAGATAGGAAAATCAGATC